GAGTCTCTCTGCTAAGTTGTGCTTAAATTGAATGACAAACATGGGCTGTTTTTTCACTGAGGATCTTAGTCATCTGTAAACAAATGTCAGTTGCTTTCACCTTTTGTGAGGCTTAACGGCCGTTGACTTTGTCATAACATTGGAAACAGAACTTTCCAGACTTATTTTTCATTAAACTTACAATTTAATTTCATAACTTGGGGGGACTTGAAAGCAAAAAGTTAGTCTCTGACATAATCGAGACTATCTCAAAAATGATGCTCTTATTTGGGGAAAACTCAGCAAAGGACTTTGGCTGTCTCAGTGTTGGAAGAAGATGCCTCCCAGCATATTCATCTATGATGCTAAAAGAATCAAGTGCCTCCAGTGCTGATAGCCTAAAGGAAAAAAGGTGGCACATACACGAAAATGGTTCTGATTAAGCACGTTTGTTGACATGACCAGAATAAATTTAGATTTTACAACTTTTTCTTGTAGTTTTGTTCAAATTCTGCCCATTTAGCTTTGGGTAATTAGCACTGGAAAATACTGGCTCCAACTGATAACTCTGGTCATTTGATTTTTTTTTAATGGAAGGTTTCTTTGCAAAGGTAGTTCTTGTTAAATCTGGGAAAGTAAAAACAAGGAAATGTAAAAGTCAAACGCTGTCTGCAAGTTGGAATTTGCTAATTCATTCAGTATGTGGAGTAAAAGCTCTTGTTACAAAACAAACAAACAAAATAACAGCTTGTCATTGTTTTTAGAGCTTTGTCACTAAGTGGTATGACAGAATAACAGAAACACAATATCGCAGCAGATGTGAAGGTAAAATTATTAATCAAGCAAATATTTATTTTTTAAACTAATCTTATCTCATTGTCCCACTATCCAAACATATGAAACCAAACTTATGTTTTAATGTTATTTGTACATTTTCTTTCACTTTTTCTTGGCTCAGGAAGCTCATTGCAGTTTCAAAGTAGAAGGCCTGCGTAGATTTGCATTCTCATCCTCACACTGATGCAGTGACACCAGAATGTGGGAACAATGTTTGCACCATCTAGTGTTGAATGCTAGTCACTGAAGCAAACCCAGTCGCAGTGTTAGTTGAAACCTTCATCAGTCTTTTTAGTTTTGGCCACAGCTTAATGTTCTGAAGGGATCCATACCATCTCATGTGACTTGTGATTCTGGAAATCATCCAACAATAATTTTAATAGTTTTTATTTACGTGCTCATAAAAAGCACAATAAAAAAAACCCCATTCATATTACTTTTAATGTGTATTTACCTTTTTACTATCTGAAACTTATGGATAGATTTAATGAAAGAGTCACCAGAGGTAGAGCTTTTCTGGATTCTTGAAGAGAATCTGAGAGGATTATTTATTTATTTATTTTTGCCTGTCCCGTTTGGCTCTTTTGCCATCAGATTTGTTGTCTAAAGGCAAAGAAAGATGCCCAACGGATTTACTTTACCAAATGGACCATCCCAGCCTTGCCGTAATGGTCTATTTGATTCACCTTTTATTGTTTATTTTATTTT